ACCCTTCATCAGAAAATGATGAAGGGTCTAGGCCCAAAATGTCAGCCCTCCTGCTCCTATGATGCTGCTTGGCCTGCTGTGTTCATCCAGCTCTGCACCTTGTTGTGTCGGATTATCCAGCATCTGCAGTTCCTACTATTTCAGATTTCCAGGATCAGATTTCCATGACTTGGCTAGCAACCTTTCACCTTTAACACCATTGTGCCAATCACCCATAAACACCCCAGGCTCTGACATTGTCCCTATTCCTTGCCAACAATAAAATCAGTCTGTATAAACAGATGCACTTGACCCAACTGATTTCATTTTTTTTGCTGAAGAGATTATGGTATTTGCTAAACACATAAACTAATGCCGAGATTATAAAATCAAAAGACTCCAGATGCTGTAAACCTGAAATAGAAACAAAATGCTGGAAATTTCAGCAGGTCAAACAACATCCATGGAGAATGAAACAGAGTTCCCATTGTTAAATTGAATGATAATTTCCACATTCTCTGTTCGTTATGCAAGAAAATATTTTGATTTTTTAAAATGATTCCCTCGTTTACATTTTCATGTGCTTATTTCTGTAAAACCTGACCTATAAAATTTAGCACTGCAGTTTAAGGCTCAAACATTTCTCATTGGGGTGGCACAGTGGCTCAGGTCGTTAGCACTACTGCCTCACAGCACCAGGAAGCCAGGTTCGATTCCAGCCTCGGGTGACTGTCTGTGTGGAGTTTGTACATTCTCCCCTTGTCTGTATGGGTTTCCTCTGGGTGCTCTGGTTTCCTCCCACAGTCCACAGATGTGCAGGCTAGGTGGATTGGCCATGCTAAATTGCCCATAGTGTACAGGGATGCATAGATTAGGTGGGTTATAGGGGGATGGGTCTGGGTGGGATGTCTGAGGGTCGGTATGGACTTGTTGGGCCAAAGGGCCTGTTTCCACACTGTAGGGATTCTATGATTGATAATGCATGTCACTAGACCAGTGCAGTTTCTGTGGCACAACATTGACTCAAGTGATTCATATAAACTCTGCTGTAATGGGGCTGTTGCTTGGCTCAAGTGGTAACAAATCTTATAAGTCCAATTTCTTGGAGTGAGTTCCGAAGTTTAGGTCATAAAATTCCTAACTAACAGCTAACTATTCCAATGTTTCCCTGGTTGGCATCCATCTTCCACATTAGTCAAAAATTCTTTGCCTATGTCATAATGCCTCAAATCCAATACACTTTTATACTACTCCCCAATTCCTGAATACCTTCAATATTTTAATATTCATTGTTTCAATCCCTCCTAGGCTCACCTCCCTCTAGCTTTGTAATCTCTTCCAGCCCTCCAACCCTCCATGAACTCTCTCTCTAGTGCTATAACTTGTCATTTGTATATTAGAAGGCAGAAACGCAGAAAATAGGAGCAGGGGTAGGCTATTTCGCCCTTCAAGCCTGCTCTGCCATCTTATGCTGTCCTTTTTTTTAATTCATTCGTGGGATGTGGGCTGGCCAGCATTTATTGCTCATCCCTAGTTGCTCTTGAGAAGCTGGTAATCTTCTACCTCCTTGAACCGCTGCAGTTTATCTGCTATGGGTTGAACCACAATGCCATTAGGAAGGGAATTCCAGGAGCTATGCCAGGTCCTAAGCTCCCAAATTCCCTTTCTAAACCGTTCCACTTCACTTTCTTTCTTTAAGATACTGCTTAAAACCCAGCTCAAATCTTTGCTTGCTTATCTAATGTCTCCTCATGAGGTTCACTCTTACTTTTCTTTCTGTCTGATATGACCTTGTAAAATCCCTGAAGATGCTTTATTGCACTAAATATGTTAAACAAATACAAATTGTTATTTCCATCCACTTTACTGGCAAGAGGTAATGACTCTTTTATTTTGTCTATGGATCTTTAGGTATTTTGGATATGAGGAAGAAATGGGGAACAAGTATGTGAAGCGGATTGGAAATGTGACCAAAGATACAGAACTGACATTTGAATTTGGAATCAAGGAATGTCACATCGAAGGTAAGTAGCTGGAAGTATTTCCATTTCTCTTTTACTAATGTGATTGACAGCTTTTGTTCCAAATCAGGAGGTACCTTGTACCCCAGTAAGATGGCAGCACTGTTAAAAACTTTCACGTGTCTGACTTTCACCAAAGCCAGTATTGTGATTCAAATTAAATAAATAGGAAGTGTTAAATGTGGGGGTTTTAGTTTATAAAGCCAGGGTTTATAGGTTTCACTACTTAGGTGAGCATTTACTTCCTTTCCCTAATTATCCTTAGGAAGATGGTGGTGAGCTGCTTTCTTGAAACACTGAGTCCATTTGATGTGGAGGGAGATACACAATGTTATTCAGGAGGGAATTCCAGGATTTTTCCCAGTGACATTGAAGGGATGCTAATCAGCTTACCGGGGGAACTTGCAGATGGTGGTATTCCCATGTATCTACTGTCCTTGTCCTTCTAGATGTAATTGTAAGCTTTTGGAAATCTAATACTCAAATTCCAATGTATCTCTCTCAGGCCTTCTTCTCCATGTTCAAAACAGGGTAGCCTTGATCATCAAAAGCTACTGCTTATTAACGCTTCCCAAGCTACAACCCACTGCATGATCAATCACAGTGAAGTGTGACTTATTGTTAGTTGGTTTAAAGGATGGATAATCAATCTCTAATTGGTTCTAGAGGGTGGTGGAGATTGACTGATGTCACCTCCCACTATTTCTTGATTGGTTCCTACTGTTGTCCATTCGCCATAGCCATTAACTCTCTCTAATCAGAGAGCAGCCTCTAGTACTATGGCTACCCTTACCATCCTCTTCATTAAGTTTGTTATTGTTGTTTCACTTAGATAAATATTATTTGCTTCTTTATTAAAAGGAAAGGGAAGTATATGTAACTCAATGCAATGATTGATGTCTTGAGCTCATACCTTGCTTAATTGGTGAAGTTTCCATTCAATCAGATACTTACCTATCACTAACAGTTTATTAGCTTTGTAACAAAGGTTAAATTTAGTCAATTACTATACTCTTTAATACATGAATACAAGAGCATGGATGTGGTCACAATTCATTGATAAGGTCTAACATTTCCGTCTTCTTCGACTTTGGAAGTCTGGATTTTAAATTAAATAGACACCTCTCAGCCTTGCAGCTGTAAGTCTGGGTAGCTTGTAATTTACCCGCTCAGGTATGTAATAACATACCTCCAGGTGATGAGGACTCACCTAGACACACCTCAAGGGTAGGTAGGACTTGAACCCAGGTTACAGCCTGCAGCTAGGGAAACAACCTTTGCACCACAAGAACCCACATCTGTAAATCTAAAACATTAAACCTGTAAGTCTAAAACATCCCTTCTTGTTCACAATCCCATGGTGCATTATTTGTCGAATGAAGCTAGTAAACTCACATGCTGTTAAAATGTCATGATCCACATTGGCTACATCTAAGCAGAACACTATAAAATGAATTAATGCACATATTGATTATGTGGTTAAAACATGAAATGTTTGATTCAAGTGTTAGTTTCCCTACTAATTCTATAGCAGTTATCATGGATTTTGTAGGTGCTGACGAAACAACCTTGGTGAATTTCTTCTTTGCATTTTGTAGACGGTACACAGTGCTGCTGCTGTGTATCAGTGATGGTGGGAGTGAATGTTTGTAAATGTAATTTTGGACTGTGACTGGGGCTGTGGCCATTGCAACCTAATTGACCCGTATGAAATACATTAGCAGGATGTCCCTCTAACCCTTTCAGTTTACCACCAGAAACCTATACCATGCCATCTATGAGCCATATTAGTGGGTTCATTTCCCACAATTGGCATTTTAATGAGTTAAATTGCCAGTTGTAGGATAACTGTTACCCAACCAAAGACACTTTCTTGGAAAGAGGCTGAAGGTGAGAACACAGGGGCTCTAACATAAATTTTTAATTCATCTCTGGCCATGGGCAAGTGCCAGAGAACTGGAGGACGGCTAATGTGGTTCCACTTTTCAAGAAGGGTGGTAAAGCTGAACCGGGAAATTACAGACCGGTGAATCTCACGTCAATGGTAGGTAAACTATTGGAGAAAATTTTGAAGGAGAGAATTACTCCCCACTTGAAAAGGCATGGGTTAATTAGGGATAGTCAGTATGGCTTTGTCAGAGGGAGGTCATACCTAACAAATTTGTTAGTTTTTTTTGAACATGGAATCTAGTCTATGGATGAGGGAAGTTCAGTTGATATAATTTATTTGGATTTTTGATGAGGTCCCACATGGGACACTGAGAAGGTTAAAGCATGTGGAATTGAGGGAAACTTGGCGAGATGGATCAGAAACTGGTTTAGTAATAGGACACAAAAGGTAGTAGTAGAAGGCTCTTTGAGTGACTGGAGGCCAATGTCCAGTGGTGTACCACAAGGATCAATACTGGGATGCATATTATTTATTAAATATATATAAAATAATATCAATGAGAATGTGGGGAGAATGTTAAGCAAATTTGCAGATGACACCAAGATTGGTGGAGTGGTCAATAGCAAAGACTATTGTTGTAGTTACAGGGAGATATAGATGTGTTAGATGAGCAACCAGTGGCAGATGGTATTTAACCCTGATAAGTGCGAGGTGATGCACTTTGGAAGAAGAAACAAGATGAGGGAGTATTTAATGAATGGTAGCTTAGAGAAACAGAGGGATCTTGGGGTAATTATTCACAGATCCCTGAAGTTAGCGGAGCAAGCGAATAGGATAGTCAAGAAGGTATACGGGACACTTGCTTTCATCAGCCATGGCACGGAGTATAAGAGCAAGGAAGTAATGTTGGAGTTGTACAGGGCAATGGTTAGGCCACAGCTGGAATACTGTGCGCAGTTCTGGTCACCTCATTACAGGAAGGATGTGATAGCACGAGAGGGGGTACAGAGGAGGTTCACCAGGATGTTGCCTGGGATGGAGAAATTGATCTATAAGGAGAGACTAGATAGGTTTGGATTGTTTTCTTTAGAGCAGAGAAGACAGAAGGGGGACATGATTGATGTGTATGAGATTATGAGGGTTATGGACAGGGTGAATAGGAAGCAGTTATTCCTCTTGGTTGAGGCATCAATCACAAGAGGGCATAGTTTTAGGGTGAGGGGCAGGAGATTCAGAAGGGATTTGGGAAAATCTCTTTCACTCAGTGGATGATAAGAATCTGGAATGCAGTGCCTGGGAAGGTAGTGGAGGCTGGAAACCTTACAACCTTTAAAAAATATTTGGATGAGCACTCATAACATTCAAGGATATGGGACAAGAGCAAGAAATTGGGATTAGTGCACCTTTAGTAGTAGTTATGTCAGTGCAGACTCAATGGACTGAAGGGCCTTTTCTGCGCTGTATGAATCTATGATTATGCTGGCTTTGTTGCAAAAGGCTGTGTTTATTGTCAACTGAAAACAAAAAATCCTGGAGATCACAGTGGGTCAGACAGCACCCATGGAGAGAAAGCAAGCTAATGTTCCGAGTCTGGATGACTCTTCATCAGAGCTGAAGTGAAGTGTGGAGGGGACAACATTTATGTAATAGTGCAGGGGAGGTGGGTAGGTGGGAGTGGAGTGCTAAGGGAGATGTGCATGGTGAAAAAGACAACTGGAATTCCTGTCGGAGGGAAGATGATCACCACCACTAGGTGGCACAGCTTTATAATCAAAATCCTGAGTAGCAGCTCACTGAAATCAATGACCAGTATGGTGTGGCAAAGTTGCCTTGGCACTGCAGAGTTTTACCACAGCAAGAGCCCTTGGTGCCTCACCTGCTACCTCTCGTATTGCCCCACTCCATGAGTGAAGTAGTGAGTTGTGACTTATGGGTGCAGCAAGCAGTGGAGTTGGGGAAATGTGTGGCAGTAGCCAGGAGGATGGCCAGAGAGGCCACCAGGGGCCAGCCAATAGGCTGTTTTGTAATGTCGCGATATATTGTCACTACCTGTGCATGTGGCTTTCAGCCATGTTTGTGGACAAGTTGGCATTGGCAACATACATTCTGCTTGCAAAATTGCCAGATTGCTTACTTCCAAATGTGCCTCTGACTCAGAATGAAATTGCTGCCACAGGAATCCTTTAGATCCTTAGCCACTTATCATTGACACCAAAGTTAAAAGCTTTAAGTAGGTAGACCACTGGAGCAGCAATCAACATTGCAGAATCAGTACAGCACGAGTTGAAGTTCAGCAGAAACAGAGGATTTACAAGGGACCCATGCCTCAGTGAATGAGGGTAGGATAGGGATCGGGGAAGGGGGTATCAAGAAGTTCAGGGGAGTGGTTTACTCCAGTGCCAGTCTTGATGACATGCTCGAGTGCCTATGAAGAAGGAGTCCCCTGAAAGCCTGCAATGGATTTGCTTATTGGACTTCCTACATCATGGGTCCCATGCCCACCACAGAATTAATGCCAGCAGTGGCAAAATAAAGCTCTTAAGCTGGCATTAGCTGCCCACTTCAAGGGCTTAATGAGTGGTTGTGCAGAAAGACTATCCACAAGCTTACTTATTACAGACACATTAGAGGCAGAGGCAGCAAGGTGGCACAATGACAGATCCACTTAGCACCTACCTGCCGGATTAAATGCCCCCATCTCTAAATTAATCTCAGGGAAGGACATTAAATGTCATCCTTTGTACATTAAACCACCTCAGGCTCAATCAATGTCCACCACCTTGTGGCTAACAGATGCATTACATACAAAAGTGTAAATGGTTCATCAACTACATTTAAAGAAAGCTTAGCACTTAAAGTGTTTATTTCTGAAAATGTTTTGGAATGATACCACTCAACTTTCTACATCAGTTTAGTAATCTAAATACTAAATATTAGTACTATTATTATATTAAATAAAACACGATTATTAGTATCATCCTGAACTCTTGCTGTGGACTTGTTTCAATTCTAAAAATACATTTTATTTTTGTTCCTACTTGAAGACTGAAACTTTTACTGACCTATAGTTCCAAGGACATCAGCAAAACCTCAGGCATCTCATATTCCTGTCCCTCTGTCACCTTCATTGTTACAGAATATTCCACTGCAAAAGGGATCACAGTTGTGAAGATCTTGTGTTTATTTGATACCCACATGCTCGCTCTTTCTAATCAGCATTGCTGTATGACAATTGGTCTTTCTAGGGTCTAATGTTTACCTAATGACTGCTTCAGCTGGGATCAGATAACCTAACACAAACTAATTATCGAGAGCTCTTGTAATGTCCCTACCTCTGTGCCAGGAGGCCTGGGCTCAAGAACCACCCGCTCCAAATGTGGATAATTATATCTCTGAACAGGTTCATGAGAAAATTTCTACACTGCTGTCATTTTTAATTTATCGACCTGAACCCAGCAAAATAAAGATCAAACCTAGAACCTTAAGGTTTGTGAAAGGCACCAGGTGACACCTAATCTAATTCATGTGCCAACTGAGGCACTCTCTTTAACTGCAATCAGTCATAAAATCACATTAATATCCCTTTGCCATCTCTGTCTGAGTCTTGTTAGGCCATAAATATCAGGAGTCCTCTGATACTTCACCCATTCTTGACTTTATCATCCTACACAGGATATGGCTAGGCAATTCAACAGGGTATTCATAATGAGGCTGTCAGTTTTTCCTCATCTCATTCTGAATGTTGAACTCCAACTATAGCTAATACAGTTAGATCTCAGCTAGCAATGGTTATACAGCTGTGGAGGGAAGGAAAGGATTGTTTGATTGACATCTCCATTACTTTGTAATAACTTGCTGTTTCTGTGAAGAGTCTTTTTTCAGAGCATGTGTATCTATCTACTCAAGATTAAGAAGTCTGAAGTGAATAGAAACTTTTGACATTAATAGCACAAATGGCTGTGATTGATAGACACTTTCATCATTAACATTCAGACGGATCTGGGTGTGCAGATCCACAGTTCCCTGGTGGTCAAAGTGATTAAGAAGTCATATGGCATGCTTGCCTTCACTGGCTGAGGCATGGAGTACAAGAATTGGCAAACCATGTTGCAGCTATATACAACCCTTGTTAAGCCACATTTGGAGTATTGTGTGCAGGTCTGGTCACCACATTACCAGAAGGATATGGAGAGAGTACAGAGAAGGTTCACCAGGATGTTCCCGGTCTCAAGGGTATTGACTATGAGGAAAGGTTAAAAAGACTAGGATCTTTTTCCACTGGAAAGACAGTGGCTGAAAGGACACCTGATAGAGGTCTACAAAATCATGAGAGACATAAATAGGGTGGATAGTCAGAGATTTTTTCCCAGGGTTGAAGTTTCAATTACGAGGGGGAACAGGTTCAAGGTGAGAGGGGTAAAGTTAAAGGGGGATGTGCGAGGGAAGTTTTTCATGCAGAGAGTGGTAGCAGCCTGGAACATACTGCCAGAAGAGGTGGTGGAAGTGACATTTAAGAGGCATCTGGATGGTTACATGAATAGGGAGAAAATCAAGGGATAAGGACAAAATAAAGGCAGAAGGTTTTTTTTAAGATTAGTTAGGACACGATGATTGGCACAGGCTTGGAGGGCCGAAGGGCCTTTTCCTGTGCTGTACTTCTCTTTTGTTCTTTGATGTAAACTGAACCACCATTTTCAAAGTAGTTGTTTGCTAATTGTATCAATTTCAGGATTATTTCACAAACTTGTCAATGACTCATTGGGTTCTGTGCATGGCTGGTACATGGAGGGTGGGAATGGAGGATTTATGGGATGGCATGGCATATGATGGGGAAAGAAAGGGACATGCAGAATATGAGGGGTCATCAGAGAATCAAGGCATGAGGCACTGGTACAACTCCATTCTGCTCCTGCTTCCCTGAAACTAGAAGGGGATGGGGTGGGCGGTGTTCCATCATGTTAGGAAGTTTCCCAAGTTAACCTTCTCACTACTGTCAGCAACACCCCTTGGAGTGGTGCTGTGTGTGGTAATACACTTGGGTCTTAAGCAGATTCATCGTGGGATCACTGGAGAAAGGGAAGTGACAGTGGGATGGGCTTCATAGGAAGGAAGGAGGCCCCTGGTGAGGCGGTGGAGGAAAAGGCACATTTGTGCGGGTATTTGTGGGCTTCCCCTTCCTCACATCAGCTCCCATGATCAGGCAGTTAGTGCATGGCAACATTGGACCTCCACCGTCTTCCACTCACCACCACCACCACCACTAGGGTCAAGTGAGTTCCCCACACACCACTGGTTGAATTCCAACAGCAGACGTGTAAAGAGTTAACACTGGCCTTCGCACCTTGGGTTTATTGGAGAGAGGTAGGTGATGTTGGGATTGTTCAGGACATAGGTGAGGCCTCTTCCGGATTACTGTGTCCAGTTCTGGTCACCCTGTTATAGGAAGACACAAAAAGACATGAGGGGTAACGTTTTTACATAAGAGAGTAGTTTGTATGTAGAATGAACTTCCAGAGGAAGTGACGGATGTGGATATGGTTACAATATTTAAAAGACATTTAGAAAAGTACATGAATAGGAAATGTTTGGTAAGATGTGGGCTGAGTGCAGGCAGGTGGAACTAGTTTAGTTTGACATTATAGTCGGCATGGACTGGTTGGACCAAAGAGTCTGTTTCCATGCTGAATGACAATACGGCTCTGACTCTGTGATTCCCAACCCCCAAACTCCCACCTGATCAAACAGTATCCACCCCAGCCTTGCAACTCACCTTCATAGGTGGAGGTGAAATTAAGTTCCATACATTGTGTTTGATGTGATGTTCCAGTTACTTGGCCTCTTGTGACTCAGACTGTGTGAATCTCTTTTAATTCCTTTAGCTGTCCAGGCGATTGAGAAGTTGCCCTTTCAGCTTCAAGTCAGCTTCACCACTCAGGATAACAGACAGGCCTGTCGAGTCATCAGTCAGGAGAAACACATCACAAATAACAGGTACCACAGATAGTCCCCATCCCTACTCGACCAGCTGATATTTATCAGAGTTGTAAAGTAAGCCTATTGCAATACATTTTCAAATTCAAGTGTGCTTGCTCACATTAATTTCCCAAATAATATCAGCCCTGTAAATAAGCAGAATCTAGTTCTTCAACAGGTAAGATGGTATACATGATGTCAAAAGCAACAATATTGCAGTCTTACGAATGAACAACCAGTTACAAGGGCCAGTGAGAATGTCTGATTAAGGGATGGAGAATGTGCTTGTTAAGGCTAGGAGGGATGAATCTGAAAATAGGGAGACGTCCGATCATTTGGATTATTCTTCCTTATTTATAATAGCTGATTTTAAATGCTGGAGGTATATATGTCTTAGAATTATTAGTCTTCAAAATATTTGAAACTCCACATGGAGCATCACCTCCAGTTATACATCTAGATCTTATGTGTAAGGAACTTTGAGGATTGTGAGAGGTCCATTTTCAAAGCTGTTCATACTATCTCTTCTCGAATGCAATCAAAATTTTGAAAAACATTATTTTGTATCTGTCTTATAAATTTTGCTGAGTTCAACTTTATTAGGTACTTTACAAATCCAGATCATTGAACAAATATCTGTGAAATTTTGGGGTCCTGTCTCCTACTATGCTATACTTTTGCTTTCTATCTTTGCTGTTCCTTATTGTATCCTTTGTTGCAAAAGTGTTTAATGTCTTAAAAACCAGAAGAACTGCGGATGCTGTAAATCGGGAACAAAAGCAAAGTTGCTGGAAAAGCTCAGCAGCATCTGTGAAGGCAAAAACAGAGTTAATGTTTCAGGTCCGGTGTTCTGAGGAAGGGTTACCGAAACGTTAACTCTGTTTTATCCTTCACAGATGCTGCCAGACCTGCTGAGCTTTTCCAGCAACTTTGTTTTTGTTCCTGTGTTTAATGTCTTACCACATGTCGTCTCTTCCATTAATAGATTTTCCATATTCTAGCTATTTCCTTCTTCAGTGCTTCCTGCTGCTGTATTAAAAGCTTGTCTTTTAAAGGTGTCTATGTTTTAACAACCCTCTTTGTGGCATGTTACATCATTAATGCCAATGTGGATGTTCATCCTTGGAGAAGGAGGTCTCCCAACTTTTATGGTTCATTTTTCTGCAAAGTTACCAATGATATGGAGAGGAATAGATAGGATTTCCAAGCACGCACTGTAAACAAATTATATCTGCATTAATTGTTCAGTCAATGTTCTGTATTTCAATAATATGAAAACAGATCTGTACTCTTAGTGTGTGAGACTGATGATGAGTGGCACTGTTTTATTTTAGACATTTCATCTTGTTTTTCAGCTCCTTGGTTGAGGACAATGTGAACATAACTGTGCTTGGAATACACGCAGCACAACTTAGTGGCCGCTTGACAATGGAGGGTAAAGTGAAAGAAGCACGCAGGGAGATGGAGGCACAGAAGGAGCTCATCCAAAAGATTGTGTAATAGAACTTTCTTCCATGTTAAATTAATCATTGTAAATAGAAGGATTGGTCTTTCCCATAGGGAAAGAACTCAGTGAATGATGTGGGAAGGTAGCTTAAATGATCCTGAATAATGTGAAATGTTACAAAGTCAGGTAGGGTATTTTATTGAGTGAGAGAGTTGCTATGCCAGGGCTCAGTGTTGAAAGCAAACCAAAACAGGAAATAACCCTTGATTTTAGTAGTCGCATTATCAGAAATAGGTAAGTTTGAAAGAGACCAGAACCTCCATAGCTTTCTGGGAAAGAATGGGCTAGAGCAGAAGATAGGTGCAGTGTACTCTGATTTCAATGTGGACATGACAGAAAGATAATTAACATGTACTGTGTAGGCCTGTCCATCAACTGAGTGGCTGAACCTCCCAATATATGAATGTTAAAATTCTACTCCTTTATTCATCTGTCGTTACTCAGCAGAATTGTTATACTCTAATTCTACTCCCAGCATTAGATGCTGTGTGGTCAGAGGGGCAAGAAATAGGAATCAGGTTGGTTCCTAAAACTGGTTATTCTATCATGGATCCTCTGTATATTTATGGGAAGTCACATTCTTACTGAGTTGTGATGCCCAGCAAGTGAATAAACTGTCAACACTTCTTTCCGAAACTTACATGTGAATTGTATGAGGCACTGAAGAGTTGTCAATGCCCATGAGCTGCTGTCCAGTCATGTTCAGCATTTGCAATGAGAGGAAGGGGAAAACAGCCTGAAATAGTTTATTTTAATCCTCAGCCAGTACCAATTAAACTGAGTTCAGGCAGGACCCTGTCAGTGGACCATCAATGGGAAACATTGCCCCCTTCCCCACCCTCCCCAACCCCCAAACAGGCATCCCCCACAAAAACTCATGTTCAAAACTGATTTGAACACAAATTCAAAGTGGTAAAGCACCACACATGAACATAACATTCTACTGTCCATGTCTACTATCTTAACACAGTGTTAATCAATTTAATCTAAATGGTTTCACACATTTGCATATTCAAAATGTGGGCAGGCTAACAATGTAACAGTTGCATTCCCAGAGTCTGTAACAAATTTGGAAAGCCAATCACAAGATTGCCCAGTGATAAGAAAAAACTGCTAATTACATTAATCAGGAATGAAACTCCCAACAAAGAGAAAACTTTCTATTTTTAATGACTTGTGTATATTGAGATTGGTTGGCTCGCTGAGCTGGTTTGTTGTTCCGCAGACGTTTCGTTACCGTGCTTGGTAACATCCTCAGTGCAGCCTCTAATGAAGTGTGTGTGTTTTCCCGCCTGGCTTTTAAAAACCAGGCGGGAAAACACACCGACGTTTCATCAGAGGCTGCACTGAGGACGTTACCAAGCACGGTAACGAAACATCTGCGGAACAACAAACCAGCTCGATGAGCCAACCAACCTCAACACCCACAACCCAAGCTACAGATCTACTCCAAAACCTTAGACTTGCGTGTATGTTTTTCACTCAACAAGGTGAGATATGCTCATAGTGAGATTGCATTTCCAAGCAAATTATAACACAATCAGATGCAATATAAGTTCTTTTTACCCAAACCCAGCAATGTGCCTTCTTCCCAATCTTACTTGAGTAGGACAGCCTCACATTGCTCACCCATATTTCATAATATAACTCTTACAGTCAAGAGTGAAAGACTTTATTACTCTATTTACCCTGCAGTAGAAACTTAACTTTCATTTAGTAAAAGCACGACATCGTAAGTAAGGATGAAAAGAGGTGGTCATTGAGGTCATGCCCCAGAGTCCATTACCGTAAATGAATGTAGTCAACTGTTTTAGTTTTCTGTCAGTGTTTGGTGAATGTTTAGCCTGCACATACTGGTTGGAGAAGCAATGTAAACAGATTGGAACCTAATATCAAACGCAACGCACGTGCACACACACGCACACACACACATTCCTTTTGTTGTATTCTATAAATATAGCATTACACATACAAAATAGTTTTGGTTTGAAGCGTTACTGACCGACTTTGTCTACTTTCAGTGAAAAAAAACAGAACCAAAAAGAGGAAGACATTTATCAGAACTGGCTGTGTTCTGTGGCAGTTGTGTGTGAGGACCTGACAAACACTCAGCAGGTGAATATAAGTTTAGGCATTTTCCAGTGTATAAATGTAGTACACATGTACTGTCCCTGTGGCTCTTTATGCAGCATCAAATATAATTCAACAGCTTTGGTCCAAAGAAAGCAAGAGGTGGTGTTGTCCTTATACATGAATGAGCTTACCCAGTACTTTGAGCTATGGAGAATGAGAAGATCTCAGGTCCAAACTCTACTGAGCTAAATGCATTGGAATGTTATGGATCTTTGAAACTTTCAAATTCAGCTCTGATGTTCCAGCTAGTCAAGAGCCTTGTTAACATTCACCATCCAATCTATTTGGGAGTCTGGCATTTGTGTGAATCAGTTGTTCAGAAACTGAGGGAGAAGAAATAATGGGAAATATCACTCCTTTCAAAAAGGCTACTTCTTTGACACACTATCCCTTTAAAGTGTAATTTATCTGACATTTTGCCTCATGCAAAAACTGAGTTTTTATTTACAATTATCTTCTTTCAGGAGGAAAATATAGCACAAGGAAGAAATGAAACGGAAAACAGTGACTCTGTCTTTAAGGTACATTTCTACATCAAAAAGTTTATTTTCAGGCATTAGTTTGAAACCATTGGTGGCAGCCAGGGATGGTACTTGAAGTATTACAATTGACTAATTTCCCTGGGTTAGTGGAGAGGGGTGAAGCAAATAGGGTTGCCAATGAGACAAATTTAGCCATAATGCTTTCTACAGTAGAATAGCCTGACAGCTATTCAGGTTCACACAAGAAACACCAGTTACTGGAAGCGGCGCAGTAAGACTGCCAGTGTCTGTGAAACTACTCCAGTAAGAATTGGTGAGTTAAGCGAGGGGAGAAAACATCTTGAGGAGTGAAAATGATAAAATCATGTGAACAAAGTTTTATTCTTACACTTGTGGTCTGCTGCAGAAAAGGGCCATCCTCATATAAATTTGTTTGGACAAACATTTTTCATTTATTTAGAGATAATATAGTGATGTAAAATGCCATGGAAATGCATAGTTATATCAGGTGCATGTGCCATCATTAAACTTATTAGTGTTGTCAAACACTTTCCCATGAAGATTGTATCACTGTTTTAAAGAAAACAGCCACTCCCTATTAAGTTACTATTTATGAAATTCTCTATTTGGGCTTCAGCCAGTCCTGAAATCTACTTAATAAAATCAAGTTTAATCTACACTGTGACTAATTGAAATGAAGATACATTTCTATAATTTTCCTCCATGTTGCAGTTGCTACATATGCTGCATTGCTGATGTCAGTTAGACCAGAGAAATGAAGTTGTGATGTTGGTCTGTGAAGTATCAGGTGGCTTCAGTTCCAGCAGCAGAAGGAAAGTTCAAGTTGGTGTCTCTGGAGGAGACCACAGATTCTGCTTGATCTAGTGTGGTAGAGGAAAACTACTTTCTGGTTTAACTGGAAGAACCTCTTGTTCTTAACAGCACATAGTTTGTTAAATGTTAGTCACTAGTTACAGATTACACTTTCCTTTGAGATCCTAAACAGTTCTGTACACATATCCATATGACATCATTACAGTTTGTAGTGCTTACAGTACATCTCAGTATAAACTCTTTCAAATCCATACACAACAGGAATCAGGTCAGCACAGGTACGCATTTCATGGTCTTTCTGTCTTTCTTTCTCTCACTTTCTTTCTCAGTCTCTCCCACTGTTTAAAAGAGCACAATCTTTATTCACCATTCCACATCTGCCTCTTTGTGGACTTAGAAGTAGATGAACAAATAATTCCAACCAACTATACCATCCTAGTTTCTACCATCAATTGCCTTCAATATTGGAAATATTCACAGTAAATTAATGTAACTCCATCTTATATTCCCAACAGGTTTTATCCGATGAGGTTGCAAACATGGTTTATCGTCTGAAAAACGCAAAGAGCAAAATGCTGAAAAAGCCAGTGTCTAAACCAAAACCTACACTGGTGCCAATGCTTTGAATACAGATCAATTTGAAGTGGGAGATCACCTAAATATTTGTAATGTAAACTGTGCAATCTTTTCATTCATTTGTATTTTACAAAATATAGCCATTATGAAAATAAATTATATTTCAAAAAAAAGTTCAAGTTTTTGCAGCAAAGCGCTGAGACTGAATGCTTGAGATCACATTCTAGGAGTCCATCGAGCTAACAGCCTGCTTCCTTGATTTGCTCATGGTCTAAGCTGAACCACACAAGCTTTTCAGGATCACCTAAACAACAGGTTTTGAGCAATCTCCAAATTGAAGGCTTTAAAAGCCAGCAACATAAATACTTATAGGTTAAGTTGCAGCATATTAACTGTTTCCCTAGCATTTGACAAGTGCCAATGTGACAAGGTTCATTGGTACACTCTCTGGTACACTAAAGGCTGAGCCAAGAGTGGGGTGATAACTGAAGGCAGTTTGGCTAAGGTGACAGTGTTGATATTCCTGTTGCTTCAGCATTTGGGTTTTGGAGCAAGAATGTACTAAATTATGATCACTACTGTGCAAGAGTCAAAATACTTCTGCCTTTGGGAGCTCTTGAGAATTTCTCAATGCATATTATGTTTTCTTGGGGCTATATTTTCATTTTCACTTTAACTAACTCCTTTGGGGTGTTGGAATCAGATAGCATCTTCTGCTATTGTTGTTTTTGTAAAAAGGTCTTCTTCTTTAGATAGATGAAAAACATGTAGCAGCAAGTTCTGTTCTCGTTACCGACCTACATTAGCTCCCAGTCAAGCAACGTCAATGTTAAAATTCTCCTGTTTTAAAATCCCGTCACAGCCTCACTCCCTACCCAGTAATCTCTTCCAGCTCCCTAACTCTCCAAGATGTCAAGCTATGATTGCTGGCAATTGTCCTTTTAGATAAGACATTAAACTGGCCTCATCTAAATGTTCAAGTGACTACAAAATATCTTGTAGCGCTCTCCTAGTGTCTTACAGTGTCTTGGAGGGTGTCTTTTATGGGGGTGGGGGGGTGGATAGACAAAGGAATTCTCAGCTCCGTGTAACCCACATGGTCATTCCATGTACATAGTGTAAATAGTTCCTTCTTTAAACTTTGTTTCCTTTCCTGTTTGTAATTATGGTTCATTGGAAAAAAGAATGCCTGCTTTATGTTCTCTAGCTCATCTGTATGTTTAAATCTAATGTTACTGTTGCAACATGAAAATAGAGAATCTGGCTCTTTTCATTCACACTTACCAACACTGTTCCCTAAATCTTTAACTTCGTTTTGGTCATCCATTTGTCCACAACTGCTATTGCCAACAATCACGCAAATGAAATCTCAGCTTCACAACTCAATATGTAGAAGTTTATTTCATTGTCTATTCTAAAGCTCTCACATCTTATTTTGTATTGGCCTTTGAACATCAAATTGAAGAATCAGGCACAGACAGCTAAGAGAGAAGAATTAAATTAATGTGAAAGATACCATATTAAGGATATTTTACCTGCCAATTAAAGATTTTCTTTGCAAAGAAATGTTTTTGGATAAGTTCTCCCCATCAATGTTGAGCCTCCACACTGCTAATTCTCCAATCACATATTCTGTCTCTGGAGGATCGGCAAAATCAGGAACCACAGAATCTTTAGAGGAACAGTTCCTCAAGGAATCTGTTCCTTCTATTTTGAGGTGACTGATCTTTAATTGGTCACTCCCATAATTGAATCTTTGTATGTATTTTGATGGCTCTTGAGAGCAAGTTTGTCTGCTGCCCCCGTGTAATTTGAGCCCTGCTGGTCTAAGTGCTTTGAATCTGCCCTTACAAGAAAGAAGATCTGGCACATTTATCGTGTATGAGAAGATGCTTGAAATGCTGGATAGGTTTAAAATATGAGAAAGAAGAGATATAGGAAAGGCTTCCTGAGCTTGGATTGATGATACTAGTGATAATTGGGATATATCTGAAGATACTTAGTGAAGCAAGTATGGAAATTCCAGAGGTACTGGCCATAATTGTCCAATTTCCTTAGCTACAGAGGTTGGTACTAGAGTACTGGAGGAGTACAAATGTTATATGCTTGTTCAAAAGAAAAGCATGTAAAGATAAACCCAGTTGCAGCAGGCCAGTCAGTTTAGCTTCAGTGCTGGGAAAGTTTATAGAAATGATAATCTGGGACAAAAATAATGGTCACTTGACCATCTGTGGTTTAATTCATTAAAGGCGAATTGTGGGCTTTTTGAGGAAATCACAGCGAATTCATGGGGTGTACAAAGATTTCAAAAAGGCATTTGATAAAATAGCCTATGACATAAAAGGGACAATAGCAGTCTGGATTAGTTGGTTCGAGTGACAGGAAAAAGAGAATAGTGACTAATTGTTTTTATTTTCCCACAGACTAGTCGAAGGCAATATAAGGAAAAGCTTTTCTCATGCGATGACAGATTATGACCTTGAATACATTTGCTTGACAGTATAGTGGAGGCAGATTCAATTATGGCTTTCAGAAGAGAATTGGATAAGCATCTAAAAAAACAAAAAATCACAGAGTAGGTTAGCTGAATTGGTCTTGTTGAGAGCTGGTTCAGACCTAATAAGCAAGTTGGTGTCTTTCTTTGGTGTAACCATTCTATGATTCTATGCTAGAGAATGCATGCTTGATGATAGACTGAACAGCTGAATACTCTGCCAATGTTCACAGCCTATGTTCACACATGAATCAGAAACATCCAGGCGTACTGCCAGTAGCATCCACAGAACAGTATCTCACTGAGGATTCAGCAATTTTAAAAAAGGGGATGAGATCATATTGGCTAGTTAACAAATGAAGCACACCAATTTTCTTTGTACAATTTATTAACAGACATTAGGCAGCCCCATTGACATCAATGGAATAAAGAATCAAACATGATGTAAAACGGGCAGCCATTCATTGCCATCCATTTTACACGATAGGTGAAGAATGATTTCACGGCATTATCTCTTACAATTAAAATAAACACTTTACAATAAAAACGAAGACAAAAGTAAACCAGGATACATAACAGAAATATGCAAACCAAAAGGTAGCTACCATCTGAATATTAAGATACAGATTATTCAATGCATGCACTGTGGTAACACTAACAGGATATTCACACTCAAGAGTTCAGTAACATTGTGCGCTAGTTGATCTATGGAATTATAGGATAGACAATATTGGTCAACTAATCATGAAATGGGCTATTATTGGCTGTTGTGCCCCGAAGTGAAGTAAAGTAATTGATACAGCAGTAGTTATTGCATGGTAGATGCATACAGCTGTGTACAGATTCATCAATTACAAAACTGAAACTGATTATTAAAAGAAATAACTGTCTAAAGTAAGGTTATTACATTTTACCATAACTGTTTCTAGTCTAAAGTGGGATGAATAGCAACCAGGCCTAAAGGAAATTGTACAATAAAATGCAACATACCTTAAGATTGTGTCTGAGTTGGTACTTTCCATTCTATTATACTGACATTCTATTATACGGCTAGATTCTCCTATTAATTACCAAAGAGCAGAAAGTCCAGTTCTTATGTATTAGTAAAAAACAGATATAAACCAAGCTTGAACTGTTCCTGCAATTAGATTCACATTTAATTAGGATTCTACTTTATCATACCAAAACAAAACACTTCAACCAACAGTCATTCAGCTAGAAATGGAGTACTGGTACAGAATAGCAGCCACGTTCCTCCAACTTTAAAACAAAATTCCTAAAATTAGAAATGAAAAAAACCACAAATACGAACATAACCCACTTAAGTCTGAAAAGCAGTTTCAATCTTTATGTTTTGCTGTATTACTTTTAAAAAGTTGTCAGTTTTATCATAGGTACAGATTACATTAAGATGGAAGGTCCTAACAGAGCATGTATTGGAAAGACAGTCAGCTTGCAATCCACTGTTTTCTTGAATTAACAGATGTGCTGCTTACAAAAATGTCAATCCTTACCGTTGCCAGGAAAGCCACACAATCCTCATTAAATATGAGTGAATACTGATCAAAGTAATGAAACAATCTAGTAACACCACCTTTGTTTCGCACGAGGAAAAAGGGACATTACTATGCATGTTCCATGTACCAATTCTTAAAAATACTGAATAATGTGTTAAAACTTTCACCAACAGTGCAGAGATCTAAAATAAACAAATATTTGCCCCCTTTTCTTCATCTGTCCAGAGTCAGAAGAAAGCCGATTCCTCAAAAACAGAGAAAATTGGAAAACAGAAACCTTTCTTTCTCACCAAAATATTACTCTCTTATGTAACATATACTTCTCCTTTACTCAGTTCTAATACTGCACTACACATATTTATATATATTCATATATAAAATAAGATGGTCTCGGGATTACAATGTCCCTGTGTATTAAATAACTGGGATGAAAACACTAAAAATATTTCTGAGAAATATCACACTTCAGGCACTTAACACATTATCAAATTCTCCTGTCTGCTATTTCAACAATGATTTGTTCTATTTAACCAGATAATTATTTTGTTTCGATTGCAAATATATTAGACTTTCATAGAATATAGCATATATAACAATAAGGTAATAATAGGTCTCAATACCAAGTATTTCAGCAGATGTTGTGAAACCTATCCTAATAGTACAACCTTACGGTATACAAATGCTGACAATGGTGAAAACAGCTATTTTTGGCCTCTATTTTTATTTTTTATCTTCTCTTAAACAAAGTCAGTCAGGTTCCTATATCTGATCTCTGTTCAGTGCCTTCTGCTGAAGCAAGGTGTTAGGCGAGGGCAGCCAAGTGTTCTCAGCTGTGAAGTTCTTTATGACTAAACAATTTGGCATTTATCTAGATCCACACTTTAATGAGTAAATATGGAAGGGTAGTTTGTGTCCACTTAACATTCCTTCAGCAACAATCCTCAATTCTAGGCAAGAAAAGTCAAATACAAGTGTCGTAAAAATGTGAAGTTTGGTTCCCATGCACTTATTGAAATGTTTTACACTGAAGGAAGTAAATTATAAGACTACAGAAGTTTAGAAAAGAATACTATTTACCTTTCATTGTTTAGTGAGTCTGTGAAATAAAGCACTAACCTATGTAAAAGAAAGATCTACATTTCTAAAGTACTTTATCAATGTTTCAGAAACTTAGCATATTTGATTAATTACTAAGAACTGCAAAGAAATTTCCACAAAACCTCACAAAAAGCAATTAGATGAATAAGTTGTCAATGTGTTTTTATGGTAGTATTGATTGAAGGGTATGTTCAGACAAGTCACCAGGCAAATTCTGTTCTTTTTAATAAGGCCATGGGACTTGAACAGGTAGGCAGGTTCTCAATTTAACACCTTAGCAGAAGGTCAGCACTGCACTGAAATGTGTGCTGTGACCAAGCAGCTCATTTCTTGGTGAAAGATTTCAACCTGCAACCTTCTGAGAGCTCTATTAATTGAACCAAGCTTACAATACAGAAAACCATTATGCAAGACTACATTCCTCACGTATGCAAACAATGAAGTTGAGTCCTGCACTCATCTCATCTGCCAGCTGTATAAATACTACAAAATCTATTCTCAAAAGCATCTCCTCTGCTACCAACCAAGGTGTTTATATATATAATTGTTGCTAGATCTGAAACTGAGACACAGAGCAGTGCGGTACCATACAGCAGTTAATCATTCCCTTTTACTTGAGTAAACTGTAAACAGACACACAACTGTACATAGATGCCAGAGTAGAGTGATTATTACCCTTTAATCCAGAGTGCATTGTTGATGTAGAGCAATTAATTGCACTCCTGGCATGTACACATGCCATACATTCTGCTGAGTGAATTGCATCTTTAAATTGGTATACATTGGGCACATTAGGGCACTTCAAGACTATGTACACCACATTTTAGGTTTCTACATACACCACATGTTAGGTGATAAAACTAATTACACAGTATCATTGACAGTGAACACAAACACTTGTCCTGTGCCCACAGTTAGATCAAAAGTATACACAGTCATCAGTCACCATTCTTGTAGCTGCTGCAATTCAGCTACAAAAGAACATATACACTCCATCCTCTCCCAAAACACACCCAGCTGCATACATATGGAAGTGTAAGAAATTCCATGTGACATTAGTTTCTAAAATAATACAGAAAAAAGTTTTAAAATGTCTAAAATTAGTCAATGATTTAAACTTGAAAGAAGGAAGTTTACAATTGGCCTTAACATCAGTAAGCTTATTCAAAGAGCCCATTCCTGATCAGAGTTTGTAGACTTTGAATGGAAAAGGAATGGGCTGACTTTGATGCAGTCCAAATAGCTTCCTAGCTAAGTTAATGCATAAAGCATGACAAATTGAGAGCATTTCCAAGATATGAGCTTGTGCCTTCAAGAAAGGAGAGAGAATTTTAACAGAGTTAAACAGAATTGTCCTCACATGGTTGGGAAAAAGTTTCATCTTTAATTTCCAAACTTCATTGTATTTTTTTTAAAATACTACTGCTTTCTGTTTTCTTTATCATATTTTTACCTCTATTACAGAACATTGCTATTTTTGTTTCTCTCTTGCCTTGCAATATTTGGCTTGTTTCTTTCTTGATCAGTGTACTGAAAACAGATTTAACTAGAAAAATATACCAACCTGATCTCCAAGATTTTTCTAAAATCCTTCATTTGAATAATATCAACTTCAAGTCTTAACTGTTGTGATTTAACAGGCCATAGGGTTGGGAAGCCTGCTGTACACATGTCCCCCAAATTTTAGCTCCACTTAAGACTGAAATTAAAAGAAATTCCTGAAAGCACTCAGAGGGTCCGGCAATATCTATCCAGAGAGAAACAGAGTTAGCATTTCATATTAACCATTCTGATTAACGGTCATTAGCCTGAAATGTTAACCTTCAGTCAATAATGCTGGCCCATGTTGCTCTCTGACCAGGGAAATCAGCTGTGTGTGCACATACTTGTTTGAGTCATCAGAATCTGAATGTCAGCTTGAAGTTAACATTAAAGAGATATTAAATTTCATTTTTAAAGTTTCCAAGTTCTTCTTGCCTCTTTCTTGCATACATGGATATGATACAAGAAAATGTTGGTTTTATAATAAGAAATATTTGTCTTATCTCTAATCTCTGACATTTCTTTATCCATTGGAACCTTTCTTTCTCTCCTTACCTTTGCAATTTTGTTGAGATCACTACTCCTCTACATTTCCTTTCTTCTTCTTGTTAACCTAAATGCCCACCTTTCTCCCCTATTCTCTCTCAGACTCTCATTCTTCCACATGACACCAAGTTTTGGGTCTCCTTAGCCCCCTCTGTCTTTCCATCCCCCTGAAACTGAGTTTTCAGAACCTTAATGTTCATTTACTTTGTTTTTTTGTGTTATTTTAAACTTTGGTGACGTCCTGCACTAGTTCTTCACCTAGGTTGGTATAATATTGTAGACTTAATACCCAACAGTCCTATGTTATTAATACCTTATTGTATCTAAAATTGTGTCCTAACACCTCAAATGTATGTGTCTTAATAGAGTAAGTCTTTGTTTCTGGAGAAAGTTCTTTATCATGCCATCTTCAGAATTGAAAATGACAGTTTTGTTTATTATTATTCTATATTCAGAAAGAGAATAGATATTATTGCTACAATACTTTCTGCTGTGCTTTGACTGTCAGCACCAAGTACTCAGTTAATCCACTCTGCCTCCAATAATATACAGTACTTCAGTTCCAAAGTCACAAGAACACGCCTAATTGCAATGTACATTCTTTTTAATTCTCACCCTTTAGTCCTCTCACAAATTTGTCAATTTAATGCCAGCCACTATCACATTGGGAGTAATTTTGTGCCATGTATCTCTGATTACTAGAAACTGAATTGAGATCTCCCTTCTCCAGTACTCTTCCAGGCAGCAGGCAATATTTGGTTCTTGATACTTTTACACAAAATTCCATCCAGTGAATTTCAATTAAGATACCAGAGTGAAAGACCAGTTCCTAACCTACTGCACCATTTACTTTCACATTGTTCTTTGAATTTTATGATTTCATTAATGATTAAAACCATTGGTTTTTAATAAAATGAGCTGAATTATTTAAAACATTGGGGTAAATCCTGTTAACCAACACACTGCAATATTGTGTGCTACACATTTTGTGCAATAAACTTCATTAGGGCTTCAAAATGTTCTTCTCTACCTTCTTCTTTGACAGAAGGACAGAACCTATAATTATCATGAGAGATTTAATTTAAATGGTGCTGTTTAAACTGTTGTCGGTGTGCCTCTCACCAAAACTGATGGAAGGAAGACTGCTCTTGTGGTTTATAACTCCATCTAAATCGTTCAGTAAAGATTATATTATCACAGCTTAATTTTAACCACCCATAATTCTAAAGATCATTACGTCTGACTATTTCTAAAGAACACAGTCTACATATCAGAGAGGTCAGTACAGAATTTACAAGCTAACTATTCCTGATGCTTCAGCTAGATAATGCAAGCAGTAACTCAGTAATACAGAAAAGGAAATTTCCATGCATGATATTAGCCTGTGCTGAGTTAACTGATCTTAGCCACAGCACTGTTAAAGGCATTACAATCAGTTTCAGCATACAGTCTACTTACTGTGGAGATAGGAGACAATTACATACAACTGTCTGTATACTGCAGGCACACACTACAGTTACACAGCAGTCTAAATACTGTAGGTACAACAGACAGTTACAGATGACTTTATATATAGTAGACACAATACAGTTATATGACAATCTAAATACTGCATGTTGAGGAGACAGCTACACACAGCGGTCTATATATTATAGGCACAGGAAGCAGTTACAACTATCAATATATAGATCTAGTTCAGGAAATGTATATACGTGTAGATGTCTATGTAATTCTCCAGTACCTACATGTTTCTGTGTGTATAGCTGTCTCCAATGAGCACAAAACTGCCTTATCTAAGAAAGTCCTCAGGTTGGTAACACTTATGTTATTAGTACACTGAAACCAATGGATGATATTTAATAGTAATGCCTATTATTCTTACTTGGTGCTGTAACTTTACTGCACTCTCAGTTGTAAGAAGAAACCATTTTGTCTGAATACTGAGAAAGGAGCAGGTAATAAAATTGTAAAATGGAAAATTGGGCTTTGATACATACCTATTAAAAGAAAGGCAAGTTCAGGAGCAATATCTTTTGTTTAGAATACTCCACAATCTTTGCATTTTGTAACTAAAAAGACAGGTCCTGAAATTTCAGAGGTTCTTGAGCTCTCCAACCCCTCTGGAGAGGAATGGCATTTGAAACAAAAAAGTACTTTGAACAAAAGAGGTCCTAACGGCCATTGCATAATTTCTTACAAACCCTTACAGTCACTCCTCAACCAAGAGTGCAAATTATGAATGTCCTGGCACCGAATAAACAACTGAGTACATTCAATTGGAGAAGTAGGAATAGAAGAGAAATCCTTTCAGATACTCTGACAGTTTTGATACAAGGAAACCCATAGAATTAAACACAATCAGAAAGTGAAATATGGATGAAATTTCAGATTAACTGTCAACAGCAAGTGGCTTTGACCCATTAAGATAATGAGTTGCCAAACCATGAAGGACTCCGATTTGATCCTGAGACTGTTTAGAATTACCGGGTGTTCCAGAGTTTCTGAACGTCTCTGGATGGAGACTGAGATATAGAAGAAAGAAAATGTCACGATTGCTGATCAGCAATGTCTGTTAGAAAGACTGCACGTGAGGACACAAGTTAAGGGTATGACCGAGTTCAGCTGGGATACCACAACAGTGAAAATGGCTTTTCACTCAATACTCCAGCTTACTCATGGGTGCTTGATAAAGGACCAGACTATTAGCAGCCTTTGAACCACATCCCAGCTTGTGTCAACACCTTCAAAACTGACAGAATTAAGAGGGCAAATTAAAATAATGTGACATTAATTTGCGACTTGTAGGTAAAATATTTGATTTTTATATTTTGGTATACTTTCATTCTGAGCTTAAATTCTGTGGAATGCTGCATGGCAAAAACAGAATATGGAAGTGATTTTCTGAATACATGATACCAGCAAGGAGCCCCGACCATCAGTTACACGTTTCTGAATTTAAGCACTCTACTTCCCTCAATCTTCTCTCATTTGGCAATGGTCCCCATCACAAATACTTATGAAATTATTCTCTACACAGACGTAACATCACTGTGGGTTAGCACCAGAATACACTAAATGCAAAAAACAACCGCATTGAACTTCCCCCTAAATCACATTACAGTAAAGGGTAGATCTTTCCCACAGCGCCTGGCCTACAACAGTGAAAATAGGTTATTGTTTAAAGATTGAAACACATCACATTTTTTAAAGGAAAAACATGCCATCACAATTTAAAATTAGGTCCCTCTAGTCACTGCAAACATTACCCAGGGTATGAGTGTTACATGAATCAGCATATAGCAATTTGTACATCACAAACAAAACACTACAAAAACTGCAACACAGAAAATTATCACTTGGCCAACAACCCTGCGTCTGTTCTTCAATTGGCGGTGCCTATTTTAATCCCAATTCCCTAACAATTCCTTGAAGCAAAAAACATTTGTACAAGAGGTAGGTATTGTAGAATGTGAATCAGGGCCAGAGTGGTCCCCTGGACTAGTACTGATTTCCTCAGGAGGTCAAAAAGGAATTTTTCCTGTTTCCCCTACCACTCCGATTAACTGGCCTGGATTTGTGTCTGGTTTCTCACCTCACCCAGAAGGATGGGATGGGAATGTGCTCATTATGTTGTGCAAGACATTATATCTATTTGGGACAGGCTGAATGGACCAAGAGATCTTTTCCGGTTTGTCATTTTCCAAATGTTCATTCATCCTTTCTTTTACATTTTTCCCTTTCGAATATTTTCCAATTCCCTTTAAATGTCATTATAGTTTTGTTCTGAAATTATGTATCAAACAACTAATATTAATTATAACTCCTCCAAATACTACAAGGAAAGGGTATTTAAGAACACTGTTAATGAGAATGACTCTGAAATTAACAATGTCATAGAATTCAGTTTTGCAATGCAAGATCTGCTCATTCTCTGATGCTAGGGATACTTACTAAAATGAATTTGGGCCATTTTTATCTCCTTACTGACGGGAAGGGAGTTCACAACTAAAAAAAAGTGTAGTATGATGAGAACATCTAGCTAGATTTCAGTTGGAGTAATGTCTGTCCTGGTTTCAACCACTGCAATTACACCTTTTTAACTGCAGACTACTTCTTGGAGGTAATGATAAACTAACACAGAAGCAAACCAATGAAAATAAATCATGTGGCTCTAAATTAGATCACACCGTTGTTTTCCAGGTTTCTGTGGCTATGGAACTCAGGAATACATTGTTATACTATTGGGAGAGGAGGTTTGTCCCTCAGTTCATCTTTCTGATATTCCTATCATTATCATCCTTGCATTCCACAACCGACAGGGAAATGAGCATCTGGGCAGCATAGTAAGTGGCCATGATGATGGCCCGGGAGTAAGGCACAGGGAAGCAAAACTTATTGACGGCAATGGTAAGGTCAGACACCATGAAAAGTACGGCTCCGAGGCAGGCACAGAGTTTGGTCCATGTCCAGAGGTCGTTGAAAAGCTGCACTCCTGCAATGGCTCGCCAGCCCATGAATCCAATCAGAGCGATGTAAACTGCCACCAGATAGGTGAAGGGACCGGAAAGATACGGGTAGAGCAAGCAGTAAGATATTCCACAAATAACCACAACTCCACAGCCAGGTTCAGGATTCAGGGGCTTCATTCCAAAGGCTGAGGTGTAGAGAATGTGCGTAATTGCAAACATGAGCAGGCCTGAGGAGTCAAAAACAAAGCAGAGTGAATAAAACAACTTTTGGATTAAAATATAAAGATCAGAATTAAATAAAAATTTGCAACACTGGAAGTTTAAAACAAAGATAGGAGATTTTAGAAGTTTTTTCAAAATGCCTCTGTTGATAAATAAATGTTGGACAATCGGTCATTCAGTTCTAAAAGGTTCCTGGTTTGATTTACAAACTTCCATGAGTTAGCTGATCAACCGATGGCAATACAACTGGTTTCAACACTTATTGGCTAGAGGGAGGAGAATCAAAAATCAAATATGGTTCCCACTCCAATGACCCCTGCTCATAAAAAGTGTGCAATCCACTCTGGTCAAGAAAAAAAGAGGCATATGTCAGGTATAGACAGCTGGAATCCAGTGAATCCCTAGAGGAGTATGAGGGCAGTTGGAGTATAATTAAGAGGGAAATCAGGAGGGCAAAAAGGGGACATCAGATAGCTTTGGCAAATAGAGTTAAGCAGAATCCAAAGTGATTCTATAAAAACAGTAAGAACAAAAAAGAGTAACTAGGGAGAGAAAAGGGCCTCTTAAAGATTAACGTGGCCACCTATGTGTGAAATCACAGGGAATGTGTGAAATACTAAATAAATATTTCATGTCAGTATTTACTGTGTAGAAAGACATGGAAGCTAGAGGACTTGGGGAAATAAATAGTGATGTCTTGAAAAGAGTTCATATTACATAATAGGAGGTGCTGGAGGTCTTAAAATGCATAAAGGTAGTCAATTCCCTGGGACCTTATCAGGTGTTTCTCAGAACTTTGAGGGAAGCTAGGGAAGAGATTGTTGGGCACCTTGCTGAGTTATTTATATCATCGACAGCCACAGGTGAGGTGCCGAAAGACTGCAGATTGGCTAACGTAGTACAATTATTTAAGAAAGGCTGTAAGGAAAAGCCAGGGAACTATAGACTAGTGAGTCTTATGTCAGTGGTAGGCAAGTTGTTGGAGGGGATTCTGAGAGACAGGATTTACATGCATTTGGAAAGGTAAAGACAAGGGATTAGGGATAGTCAACATGGCTTTGTGCATGGGGAATCATGTGTCACTAACCTGATTGGGCTTTTTTGAAGAAGTGACAAAGAAGATTGGTGAAGGCAGAGCAGTAGACATTGTCTATATGGACTTCAGCATTCAACAAGGTTGTGCATGGTAGACTGGTTAGTAAAGTTGGATCATGTGGGATCCAGGGGGAGTTATCCAATTCGATACAAAATTGCCCTGAAGGTAGGAGACAGAAGGTGGTGGTAGAGGTTTGTCTTTTGGACTAGACGCCGGTGACCAGGGTTGTGCCACAGGGATTGGTGCTGGGTCCACTACTTTTCGTCATTTATATAAATGATTTGGATGTGAATATTGGACGCATGGCTAGTATGTTTGCAGACGATACTAAAATAGGTGGTGTAGTGGATAGTGAAGATGATTATCTCAGATTACAACGTGACCTTGATCAGATGGCCAATGGCAGATGGAGTTAAATTTAGATAAATGTGAGGTGTTGCATTTTAGTAAGGCAAACAAGGGCAAGACTTATACAGATAATGGTAGGGCCCTGGGAAGTGTTGCCGAACAAAGAGACCTAGGCATGCAGATGCACAGTTCCTTGAAAATTGAGTCACAGGTAGACAGGGTAATGAAGAAGGCATTTGGCGTGCCTTCATTGGTCAGAACATGGAATATTGGAGTTGGGACATCATGTTGCAGCTGTACAAGACATTGGTGAGGCAACTTTTAGAATACTGCGTGCAATTCTGGTCGCCGTTCTATAGAAAAGATGTTGTTATATTTGAAAGGGTGCAGAAAAATTTACACGGATGTTGCCAGGACGGGTGGGTTTGAATTATACGGAAAGACTGAGTAGGCTCGGGCTTTTTTCCCCTGGAGTGTCAGAGGCTGTAGGGTTACCTTGTAGAGGTTTATAACATCATGAGGAGCATGAATAGGGTGAATTTTTCCTAGAGTGGGGAGTCCAAAACTAGAGGGCATAGGTTTAAGGTGAGGGGGAAAGATTTAAAAATGACCTGAAGAGCAACTTTTTCACACAGAAGGTGGGAGTGTGTATGGAATGAGCTACCAGAGGAAGCAGTGGAGGCAAGTAAAATTACGACATTTAAAAGGCTTCTGGATGGGTATATGAATAGGAAGGGTTAAGAGGGATATGGGCCAAATGCTGGAAAATGGGACTAAGTCAGATTGGGATGTCTGGTCAGTGGGGACAAGTTGGACTGAAGAGTCTGCTTCCTTGCTGTATGAATCTATGACTCTGAGACAGACGGTGGTAGTGGAGGGTTGCTTTTCAGACTGGAGGCCTGTGACCAGTGGTGTGCCACAAGGATCGGTGCTGGGTCCACTGCTTTTTGTCATTTATATAAATGATTTGGATATGAACATAGGAGGTATGGCGAGTAAGTTTGCAGATGACACCAAAATTGGAGGTGTAGTGGACAGCAAAGAAGGTTACCTCAGAGTACCACAGGATCTTGATCAGTTGGGCCAATGGGCTGAGGAGTGGCAGATGGAGTTTAGTTTAGATAAATGTGAGGTGCTGCATTTTGGAAAGGCAAATCAGGGCAGCACTTATACACTTAATGGTAAGGTCCTAGGGAGTGTTGCTGAACAAAGAGACCTTGGAGTGCAGGTTCATAGTTCCTTGAAACTGGAGTCGCAGGTAGATAGGATAGTGAAGAAGGCATTAGGTATGCTTGTCTTTATTGGTCAATACATTGATTATAGGATTTGGGAGGTCATGCTGAAGCTGTACAGGAGATTGGTTCGGCCAAGTCCAACTTTTGGAGTACTGCGTGCAATTCTGGTCTCCCTCCAATAGGAAGACAGTTGTGAAATTCGAAAGGGTTCAGAAAAGATTTATATGGATGTTGCCAGGGTTGGAGGGTTTGAGCTGTAGGGACAGGCTGAATAGGCTGGTGCTATTTTCCCTGGAGGGTTAGAGGCTGAGGGGTGACCTTATTCAAGTTTATAAAATCATGAGGGGGACGCATAGGGTAAATAGCAAGGCCTTCCCTAGGATGAGGGAGTCGAAAACTAGAGGGCATAAGTTTAAGGTGAAAGGGGAAAGATATAAAGGGGATGTTTTTGTACAGAGCGTGTTGCATGTATGGAAGGAGCTACCAGAGGAAGTGGTGGAGGCTGGTACAATCACAACATTTAAAAGGTATCTTTTACCGTGGGCAGTACAGTGGCTTCGTAGTTAGCACTGCTGCCTCACATCGCCAGGTACCCAGATTTGATTCCACCCTCGGGCGACTGTCTGTGAGTTTGCACACTCTCCCCGTGTCTGTATGGGTTTCAGCTGGGTGCTCTGGTTTCCTCCCACAGTCCAAACTTACGCAAGTTAGATGGATTGGCATGCTAAATTGCCCCTAGTGTTCAGGGATGTGCAGGCTAGGTAGGTTAGTCATGGGAAATGCAGGGTTACAGGGATAGGGTAGGGGAATGGGTCTGGGTGGGATACTGTTCGGAGGGTCAATGTGGACCTGCTGGTCCGAATGGCCGGTTTCCACATTATGGGGATTGTATGATTCTATGATCTGGATGGGTATATGAATGGGAAGGGTTTAGAGGGATATGAGCCAAATCCTGGCAAATGGGACTAGATTTATATAGGATATCTGGTCGGCATGGACAAGTTGGACCAAAGGGTCTATGTCCGTGCTGTATATCTCTATGACCCTATGAGTCTATGAATGGGATTGATGTTACACATCATGATATTGAATAACTCAGCAATACAGGCAGTCCATAGTTGCAATACAGACACTTGGAGAAGGTACCAGGACGGTATAACATATTAGCATGGATAAAGTGCTAGTTAGCTAACAGGAAGAAGGGAACAAGGATAAATGGGTCATTTTTGGGCTGGCAAACTGTTTCATCTCAGTGCCACAGAGATCAGTGCTGCAGCCTCAACCATTTGAAATTTACATTGATGGCTTGGATGAAGGGACTGAACGTCTGGTAGCTAAATTTGCAGGTGGCATAAAGATAAGTGAAATAAACATAAGGACACTCAAAGGGATATAGGCAGGTAAAGTGTGCAGGCAAGAATTTGGCAGTTGAGAGTATAAGATGGGAAAATGTGAACTTGTCCATTTTGGTAGGAGAAATTGGAAACCATTATATTATCTGAATGGGGACAGACTACAAAACTCTGCGCACAGTGTTTTAGCAGCTGGTGCAAGTGATTAGGAAGGGAAATGCAGTGTTTTTTTTTATTTAAAAGGGCTTCAATAATATAAATAGGGAAGTGTTGATGTAACTGTACACTGCCTTTAGACAGAGCATATTTGGAGTACAGTGTACAGCTTGGTGTCCTTAAAAAGATACAATTGCATTACAAACAGTTCAGAAGAGATTCACTTGACTGATTCCTGAACTGAAGGGGGTATCTCATGGAGGAAAAACTGAGCAAGTTAGACTTATACCTATTACAGCATAACAGAATGATCTTATTTAAACATACAAGGTCCTGAAGGAACTTGATAAGGTAGCTGCTGGGAGGCTGTTTCCCTTTGTGAGGGGAGACTAAAACAAGCAGACACACTTTGAAAATTAGGGGCCTCCCATTTACAATTGAGGTTAGGAGAAACAGGGAGAAAGTTTATGATGAAACAAGAAAGGAAGGTGTAAGGTTGAAAAGCGATAACCAGTGGGTTTCCACAGGGATCAGTGCTGGGACCGCAACTGTATTCAATATATATTAATGACTTGGAAGGAAGGAAGTGCACGTAACAAAGCCAAATTTGCAAAAAACATAAAAATATGTGGAAAGGCAAGTTGTGAGAGGGATACAAAGAGACATTGATAGATTAAAGAAGAGGGCAAAAAGTTCGAAAATGCAGCATAATATGGGAAAATGTGAAGTTGTTCATTTTGGAAGGGAGAACAAAAGAACAGAATAGTATTTAAACGGAGAAAAATCTGCAGAAAATTGCAACACAGAGAGGCTTGGGGGTCCTTGTACATAAAACAGAAAGATAAAACACAGGTG